CTCCCCAAACGCCGCGGCGCACAGTTTGGGAATCACTGATTTAAAGTAAAATATGTACAACTCATCCCTAAATTAGTAAGCGTTATTATGGACTTCTTACCAAAATTTGTACATATAAGAGATTTGGACGTTGGTCCAGTGTTAATTGTAAAGCCTGTGTATCTCTGCTTACAGAGATGTTGGTGTACATCGACTCTGCATCAAAACTAACGATCAAAGCCCCATCTTCTATCCTCTGCTCATCGACTAACTAAATTAATTTATAAAAATTCTTTTTTGAAAACTACCATGCGTAGGGGAGTTGCTTCATTTGTTAGCATATATGTCGTGATATTTTATGCGTAATGTTAACCTTAATATCACTAATTCTCAGCGGGACTTATGCTTTTTGGCAGACCATATGCATTCGGGGTCCTGGCATCTCATTAAAAAAGTGCCTTCATTTTCAAATTCTCCAATTCCTCTTTTGTTACAAAATGTTGCAGGCAACATCTATTTCTAGACTCCAGGGTTCCCGTGGGTTCCCTACTAGTAGTCTTGTATGCTAACGTATCATCAAGTGTCTGTATCATGTTTTCTACATAAACAACCTTATCCATAGCCAACATTGTTCCTACTCCGTCTGTCCTTAACACGTATTCTTCCTTGTCTCCGTTTTTAATAAGGTTGTTTACTCTCCTATTCCTTGGCGATATCTCTACATGGCTATCAATTAAAGAGATAACCTGTAACTCGACATCACTCCCGGTCGCTTCTGACAAATTGTCGGTAAAACTTATGAGTTTTACCCATATTTCTTCCCTGTTATCCTTACTGGCGGGCACAGTACCTACTACTTTCCACCAAGAAGTCCATTTATAAAGGCATCAATTTTATTCATTATTTAATTCATCTATTCGGTGAGTTAAATGCCTGAATCTCACTTGTTCATCAAGTCCCTCAACTGCAGCCTTGAGATAAGCACGCTCAGTGGCGGAGTAAGCGAGTCGTTCACGCAGCTCGAAGAATTCCATGTTACTCGCTTTAAGTTGGTCCGTAGCGCTTGCAGCCTCTGCCAAAGCTGCTGATAAACGTTTCTGCAGGAGAATATTTAGACTACTGGCCTTAATGATATCCTGAGGATGAATATCTATGATGAAAAAAAAACAATACGTGAGTGAACATACGGGGTTTGGAAAGGCATTTGTTAAAGAAATGTGCAAAGTAAGAAATTATTAGAAAGGAAGCGATGCAAATTTATTGGTAACCATAAAAGATGATTCCGAGATCGCTTATGTTTAAAAATGAAATAATATTTAATGATAATGAATCATTATTGTGAAGACTTTAAGTTCGTATTAATGCATCAAGAAGAGATTTGCAAGTTGATATAACCAGAAGGTTAAGAATTGTACAAATTAACTCGGATATTCTACACCGGATATCCAAGAAAAGTAATGGAAAGAAACATACGGCTGTTAAAAGTCGATGGCAGGACGGGGATTATAAAAGGAAGATAAGAGTGGAGGAAGAATCACTAAAATGGATATGCCCCTTCCCCTGAAAACGAGCTCAAAAACTATTAAGAAAAAGGAGTATTCAGATAATTACGAAGGAAAAAATAAGATTCTTCACAAGTCTACCCACACAATTTGAGTTCGGCAGTTATCATAATTCCCAGATTCGGACTGTGAACTTGGTATATTTCCAGACGTCGAATGTCATCGTATTCGGCAGTTTAATTGCTACTAAGGGCTTGCGAAATAGCGCCTGAAATGAAATGTATATTTCCACTGGAACCAAGCGAAAACAGTGAACTATAAAGATATGAAGCGGATTTACGGGCTCATGAAGGAGGTCCGGATATGAGGCCCAAGTGCAAACAACAAATTGAGAGAGCGGGCAAGATAAGCAGGTGTGATAACACCTTGTTAAATACGGGGAAAAGGGCGCACCTTATGAGTATTAGATTATAAACAATTCATAAGTTCAAATTACGCGAGACTGATATAAGAAGCTATGGGGTAGACAGAGGGGCTAGGGCAGAAAGAGGAGTGATAGCATAACCGAAAGTTAGTCAAGGGGTTGACTTTACTTGTCACTTTGACGAGTTGTAGTTAGGTGCTGATAATGGCAGGACTCACTGACGATGACAGAGAAAGGTCTGGGAATGTACTCAGTTAACGTTCTGAAGATGGGAATTACGGCACCTACTATAGCAGAGGATTTCGGACAAGGTGCGTCCATCTAAGTCACCCAAACAACATGATAAAGTTGCGAAAACGAGGTCAAACCACTTCTATACATCGAAAGGAGACTGCGACAAAAAAAGAGGATGCAACATCTGATCTTTATATTCATGTTTCATATTGTTCATGGTACTTTTACTTCTTTCTCTGCGTGAATGTGTGTGCGTATTAACGTCTAAATGCAATGCGGGTTGTAAATTAGAAGACTTTAAAAAGTTTAATGTCAGGCCCAGGCCATCAAAGCTGAATGGCAAAATAAAAACCCTGACCAAGACTGCGTAAGTCTGCGGGCATTTCTAATTGAGATAATGAAGTGTAAGCTTGTATGCGTATAAATAACGAAATTACCTGTCATAATGTGTCTATTTAGCGTCATTGAAGTTTAACAACCCTATGAATGGCACGACCTGGAAATGTGTAACCTCGTACGTTTCGTTTTGTTGAGGAGCTTAATCTAACTGTTAGTCGAGTGTGAGGATAAAACGGTTACCGGGCTGACAGGTTAAGTTTCCTTCTTTTGGATGGCGGGTAACACCTTTTCTCTCTTTACATTTTTCACTTAACCATAGATAGCCCTTATTCAACTTTCTACCACCATCCCTCACATTGAACGTATTCCCTAATCTATTAATTTAAATATCATCTCTAATCTTTCTTTTAACAACAGACGTACCATATACGAAGAAAAGTTGGGTTTCGAGGAATCTCTTGTTTCATAATTGTTGGGATTACTTCCATTTC